AGCATAGATAGGTACATCTCAGGAAAATTTGCTTGTAATTTTTCAAAAGCCCATCCTTATCTCAACCAACAGGATTTTGATAGGCTAAAAAGCCACATTTCCATGATGTAAAAATATGTTATTAATGGACCGGTTCAAAATGATTATATAACAATAATTTTTTTTTCTTCAAATTGAAACCTGAAAAATTAGGGGAGTTCCTTACCCACAACTCAGTGCAGTTAGGTTCTCTTGAACCAAGCCACATCTTAACAAGGAACTTGCAATTTTTATTTTTTTATTGTTTTATATTTTAGGGACAGGGTCTACAAGGTGTTCAGGTCTCACTGCTAGATTGGACTCTTAGTGATCTGCCTGCTTACAGCCTCCTAAGAGCTGGGATTACAGGCACGCTCCATCATGCCTAGTCTCAATCGCCTCTCAGCGTGCCCTGGGGGCAGGCCTGGGGATTGAACCCCAGTCCCTGAGCCTGCTTGCAGATCGGCTGAGCTGTTTGGCCGGCCCTGGAACTTGCAATTTGTATTAGAGAATAGAAACTAATCCTGACATGGCCAGGATGCAGACCTGAGCACAGCTGTGCTCAGCTGGGGGCCGGGGACAGTCCCTTGTTAGTTACTCTGAAATCTCAGTTTTTAATCTCAGAAGTATGCAGCTCGTGATGTACCGTCCTCATCCCCGCTCTCATATCATTCGCATTTAGAGTCTCAGTTTGCGTCATTCTTCTTGTGATTATTTTTTCTAAAACCATGGGCAGATCAACTTCTCTATCCCTACTGACTTCCCTTCATGTTTGTTTGTAGCTCTGTACTTTAAAGTGCTTATTAAAGCCTATAATCCTTTTATTTCCCACACTCAGAGAGAAGGACCTGCAGAAGAATGCTTAGTTTCTTGCAGGTAATACATGAATAATATGTTTTGTAGGCAGTGTGTGCAGTGTTTAGGTACTTTGGCTGTTGATAAAGGCATCAGTTTAATTAGCTTTTTATTTTCAGGAAAAAAACCCCTCACATTTCCCAAGTATCAATATTCTTTTATGGAAAATAAGTATGATAATTATTTGCTGTATTGGGAAGGTGAAATAATATACTATAATACATCAAAACATTCAACGTAGTGCTTCAATTATAATAGATGTTGAGTAAAGATTAGTTAAATAATCTATTAGGCAGTATCTTTTTCTTATTTTTGTTTACCTTCTCATTGACATAACTGTGCATTTATGGAGTCTGCTGTGATGTTATGATTCATGTATACATTGTGAATGATAAAAATCATGCTAATTAGCATATGCGCCACCTTAAAACTTTCATTTCTGTATATTGAGTGTGTTTTAAATCTTGTCCTCTGGCTTTCACAGAGAGCACATTGGCCAAGCAATGGCCGTGACTCATCCACATGGCTGCACTGACAAAGGTTCTACAATCTGAGGTACAGGATCTCAAGATAAATCCTGAGGGCATTTCACTGACCTTCTCAGACCAAAAAGCTACAACTCTTGTTGCACAGGTCCTGCTTTACCTTGGTCTTAACCATCCAGTAGAAAAGTATGAAGACGAAATATAGGAAATAAAGCCATGCTGTTATGTTGAGCTGTGGGGGACTCAGGTCAATAATTTCTGACATTGCCAGTTAAACAGAAGACCCAATGCTATTTTGGGCTACTGGACTCTTTTAGAATATTTTGCTGAGTTTACACACCTATAATATTCAATAACGGAACTTAGAAAAAATGAGGTATACTGATGAATGTCCATTTTGTATCTGTGTATTCAAAGTGGTTAGGATAGATATATAGTTACATTCTCTTAATAAATGGAATGATTTGTTCTAATGGTGTTTGTAAATAGGATCACAAGTCCACTTCTTGTACAGCAATTAATCACTAAGAAGAATATATGCAGCGTATTATTTGTTGAACCTGTACTTCCGATTTGATTTGAAACTGTCTCATTGCTGTTTATCAATAAAACTTTGAAAAAAAATAAATCCTGTCCTCTGGCTATTGGGAGCTAGCTCTTCATCTGTGGAAAGGAGCACCACAACTCACTCCTACCTGTGACAGCAGACTTGCTGGCCCGCCCTCCCTTGTTTCCACCTCATCTCTCCTCTACCTAACTTTGTTTGTTTTTTTGTATTATTTAGGGAAGGGGCTACAGAGTGTTTAGGGTCTCACTACTAGATTGGACTGGTAGTGATCCACCTATTTACCGCCTCCCAAGTGCTGGGATTATAGGCACATGCCACCATGTACAGTCTCAGTTGCCTTCTTAGCATGCCCCAGGGATTGAATCCCTGGCCCCTGAACCTGCTTGCAGGTGCTTTAATCCGCTGAGCTATTTGGCCAGCCCTTCCTCTCCCTAACTTTGGTAACAACTGTTCTATAATTGAAACATCTCTGTGATTAACTTTGTAAAATACCACATGTGAGTGAGATCATGCTGTATTTGTCTTTCTGAAGAATTTTTTGTATTTTAGGGAAGGGTCTACAGGGTGTTCAGGGTCTTACTACTAGATCGGGCTCCTAGTTATCCACCATTTACAGCCTCCCAAGAGCTGGGATTACAGATGAACACCACTACATCCAGTCTTAATTGCCATCTCAGCGTGTCCTGGGAGGTGGAGCCGGCCGGCAGGCTCAGGGATCGAACCCCCAGCACCTTTGTCTGCTTGTAAGCACTTTAATCTGCTGAGCTATTTGGCCGGCTCTAAAAATAGGACCTTTTAAATACGGGTTTTGAGCCCTCTGCTTGAAATTCTCTCTCACCATTATCTTTCTCTTTTCTCCCAGGAATGAGGCTATTCATTTTAGGTGGATAAATTTCCTTCTGAAAAAATGGTGGCCCAGGGGCTGACAAGATAGCTCAGTGAACTAAAACATCTGCTTAGGCAAGCTTAGGCAAAATGCCATGCCAGCCCACCCCAGGGCTAAGCCAGCCCCCCAAAACAACAAACAAACAAACAAACAAACAACCAATGCCTCACTATACTGTGGTAACTAACATCTTTGGGTACAAAGACAACCACAGGTATTAAATTGTTAAAGACAAAAATATTATATCTCTATGTGTACCTGTAGCTCACTCCTAAGATCCCTTTCAAATGACTGTTAAATTCATTTGAATTTTGCTCATTTTGAGCACCTGAATTGAACAAATGCAGAGGTTGTGTTTTTTTTCCTCTTGATGCTCCTAGATTCAAGTATTGTGACTGATACATGCAGTAACAAATTGGTGATAGAAATACAAAAAGCTATGTTGAGTTTGAAGAAATAGAATTTGGTTGTATTGGGAAGTTTATTTTTAGTAAAGAAATTGAAATAAAAATGATTGAATATTATCTGGGCTTCAAATTTGAGTTAGGAATTCTTTATTTTGAGGAAATCTAGTGTTTGTATCAGATAGATTATCTTTCTTTTTTTAAAAATGCATTTTGTACAGGGTTTCACTATGCAGCTTGGACTCGTAGTGATCCTCCTGTTTCCAGCCTCCCCCATGCTGGGATTATAGCTGTGCCTCATCATGCCTGGACTCTGTCTCTGACTCAGTGCTCCCGGGGCTGGGGCCGGTGTGGCATGCAGTGCCAGGGATTGAACCCTGGTCCCTGTGCTTGCCTGAGCAGGCACTTAGTACACTATCTCGCTGGCCCTAGAGTGTATTCCTTTTGAAAATCCATGTGTCTTGTTATATACTACATGTGAAAGCAGTGTCAGGACTCCTAATTTTTTATGTACAAATCAGTCCAAATCAGTATATGTTCATTTAATATTTCATTGACATGATTTATTTGATAACAAGAAATTGGAATTATGTAAGCATTTACATAATGTGGGAATGAATCAAGTAGAAAACCTTGTTGATTGATTTGCCATCTCTAATAACAGATATTTGCAGAAGTCAGGAATTGAAATCTACTTGGGGACTCACGGTAGTTGTTCATTTCTTCCCCCTGGTCTTTTGTGTATGTTTTATTTAAGCAATGCAGTCGGCTTCTGAGATGGCTTGGAAAAAATAGTTTTTATTTGGTATTTATTGTGGTTTAATGTTTAGTCCAACAGGAAAGGCTTGGTTTGCTGCCACTCTGCTGGAGACATGGGTGTGCTGTCTTGGCTTCAGGTGCCAACTGATATGCAGGTGGACTGGTAAACGTGGAAAGCTAATTTCTGCCTGTGCTAGAGGCTCATCTGTTGGGCAGAGAAAGGCTTTTTTTCATATCCCAGCTCTACTTTACTGGAAATAAAGGCATCGTAGGCTGCAGAATCTTGTTTAGTGCAGTTGTTCTATGGGGGTCTGTTAGGAATTCTTGGCAGTCCATTTTATTTTCAAAAGATCTACTAAAATTGAGATATATGATTGCCTAATATGAGGTGATTTTGTTGACAACTGAAGGTATCCAGAGAACCATATTAAAATTCTGAAAGCAACTTACTTATGATATCGAGGCTAATATCTGAAGTGATATCATATTTTTGAGTTCTTCAGACTGAACTATTCATGTTGCTGGATTATTTTTCAAGAACAAAGTATGCCTTTTGTTTTTGATAACATCTGATTTTTTTTTAACATCTGATTTTAGAGGCCAATAAAGTTTAGAAAGGGCCCCAGAGATTTAAGTCTCAATTAAGATTATGCCTGTGAAGTACCTACTGAATGAAGGTTTGCAAGAACTGACTTTGGCTGGTCATTGTGTGCAAACCAGTCTCCATAGAGACAGACACACTTAGACCACCATCAGAGAGTAGCTTCGGGAATCCTGACTTAGGAGAATTTTGAGCTTGCTTTGGAGTAGTTCAGATTCCTTGGATAATTCCTGTAAATCAGCTCAATCTCCTTGGGTGGGAATGTTGGACCTGTATCAAACCCATCCTCTTTGAATGTGAGCTCTGTGACTGACCCTGACCTTCAATGAAGGTTGTCTCCAAGGACAAGGTCATTTCTAGGCCCTAAGCCTAAAATGAAAGGCTGTTCTGTGTCTGTGTCTGGCCCCGTGTTTGGCTCTCTTACCTGATACAGGTTGGCAAGATGGTGGTTTGTTTTGATCAAAAATGGCTGGTTCACCCCTGGGTGGTCCACATCGTGAGCCGCTGCAGCGAGCAGTCCAAGCATGATGTCCAGAGGTGTGAGGAAGCTGGCCAGCTGTTGAAAGAAATCAAGCCGAGAGGTTGGTGTGCTTCCACAGGTAGGGTGACATTTGTCTGGGCTAAATACAGCAGAACGAAGCATTGTTTAGATCTTTACCCTCAGAGGAATTCAACAAGGTGATATGCAATGGAATTTCCAGAAAAGACCAAAGGGCTGTGTGGAAGGTAACTGAATAAACCCAAGTTGTGTGGATCACTCAGGTACCCTCTTTTTCCTACGGCCACGTTGTTTTGTTTTATTGTAATGACATTGCTTATTTGCAACTCTGTTATTTAGTGGGCAGGGAGAAGACCAGGATTGAAATCAGCCTTGCTTCTAGAGAAAGTTGTAAATGAAGGAAAAAGTTAAGGCCAAACAGATGGACTCATTTAATCATTTTTGTATTTCACCTCATATCTCTTTGCCATTTCTTTAAAAGAAGTGGGCTTAATTGCAAGTTTTACATATTTCCTTAATATGTAATAAGCAGTGGGAGAATATGTGAGAATCATTTGTGTTCTGGTTAGATAGGAGAGTAAGAGAGAAAATGGGAGTCCAGTGCTAATAAAACTACAACTATGTGGTGTTACAACTGTAGGACTTTTTAGAGACTAAAAAGCAAAACCAGTAATTTTTTGGAGGTATTTTACAGGTAGGAGACATCTATCCAGCTTTATCCTAAAAATACCTGCTTGACATTTGTAGACTTACATTTGATGTTAAAGCACCTTTATATTTAGTGGGTTGGTAAAATTGATTGAACTAAGCAGAACCTTAGTCTGGAATATCATTTTTCAAAAACTATAAGAAAACTCATCCTGTACATGATGCCAGAAACCTAAATTTCAGCCAGGTGCAATGGTGCACACTTGGAATCCCAGATACTTCTGAGGCAGGAGGATCACAAGTTTGAGGCCATGGAGTAAGCTAGGCTACAGAATCCCACCTCATTACATTTTTAAAGTGTAAATGATTTTTTTAGAGGTGAAATCATTCTCTGGTTGTTTATTTTTTGGTACAACCCGAAATAGTAGGATATTGAATTATGGCAGGCCTTGACTGTCTTGGGTGTCAGCTTAACATTCCACAGGTGGGGGTTCATTTTATATTCTGCAATACAAAGCATACTAAATGGCAATTTGGAATTACAGTCCTGCATTTAATATGTCTTGGAGACTTCAAATGACTTCTATTCCCATGTTTTTAGTAGAATTGTTTCCTAAAGAAAACTACTTCCTAATTGTTGACCTGTCAGAATCATGTACACTCTGTAACATCTTTTGTAGTGGTCGTCCAGTTTGCCTCATTTTGTTAATGTGCTGTGAAAGATCAAAAATTTAGGTCTATAGTGTATGTGATACAAAATTGTGAATTGGTGGGACTTAAGTAGCACTTTGTCAGCATTTGAAGATACTGGTACTTAAGTCTCTTACAGAAAATTTGCCTCTACATTTGATTCTGGAAAGTCACTGGAACAACTGAAAAACAATACATGGCTTTTTTGGTTATGTGTGTTCAGAATTGTGTAAAAGTGAATCATGTGTACTGATCCTCAACACAACCAATAAAATCTCAAATATTGAAGACAAAAAAAAAATACTGTCTCAAAATAAATAAATAAAATAAAAAGTTAGAGATGTAGTTCAGTGCTTCTTGGGTTCTGTCCCAAGTACTGAAACACAAAACAGCAAAAATTACCCCTCTTAAATTTTGTATAATTAAGAATTGCTTCAGATCGTGACTAATGAACATTATCATTTTGCTTTCATTTTAAACTTTGGGCTAGAATACTCTTGTTAAGATACCTTTGACATTCATAAGTTTTCATGGGCCCTGAATTCAGGACATCCAGCTGGCTGAGTGAGAAATGGAACTTGACCCTTTTAATGGCTTTTGGTTCCATTTGTTGATCAAAAATCATGAGGGGGAAAACCTTTTCAGTAAAGTTCAGTGTCAGTGCTGTTGGCGGTAAAGGTCACAGGCAGAAGAGCTTGTTCTTGGGGGCACTGAAAACATCTAAGAGGTAGATTGCCTTAGAGAATGTTGCTTTTGTCCTAATGCAGTCTTGAAAGTGTAAATCGAAAGTTCAGAAAGTTCATATCCTTTTTCATGGATATGCTAAGATTTTCCGAGCTGATATAGGATCTTTTTTTTTTGTATTTTTTAGGGAAGGGTCTACAGGGTATTCAGGGTCTCACTACTAGATTGGATTTGTGATCCACCTGTTTACAGCCTCCCAAGAGCTGGGATTACAGGCTCATGCTACCATGCCCAGTCTCAATCGCTGTCCCAGTGTGCCCCGGGGGAGGAGCCAGCGTGGCAAGCCTGGGGATTGAACCTCCAGCCCCTGCGCTTGCTTGCTGGCACTTTAATCCGCTGAGCTATTTGGCTGGCTCTGGAACTTTAATATAAATAGTTTTGCACTTATATTGTGAATGATTCCTAACATAGTTGATTGGATGTGTTGGGTAATTGGGAACCTAGCAGGCATTTACTTGGCATCTCAGGTGGCAAGGGCTGGCGGGGTCTTGCTTTACCTTTGGCTCCTTCAGGTAGCAATGCATGGCCTGGGTGACATCAGCGGCATGAACAGCATTGTGATACGGGTTTTGGCCGTGGTAATCTTCTTGAACCATGACTAGGAGATAAACAGATAACTCAGCTAAAACCAAAACAAGAATGATGTACTAGACCAGATTATTGAGGGTGCTTTTACTTAAAAAGTATCAGTGCCTCTATCATGCCCAGCCTGGGGAAACTTTGAAAATGAAAGTGGTTTAAGAACTTGGCAGCTTTACTGAGCTGCTTGGAGTTGGGGGGCAGGGCTGGAGGGGAGAAAGGCCAACCGGATTTGTTAGTCCCTTGGGATTTCTCACCTCCTTCATAAATCACCCCTTTCTGACATTCATGAAGGCCCTCATTCATAGAAAGAAAATAAATATGTAAGAAAAAGACAACTTTATTTCCCACCATCGTTTAATTATTTAAGTTTGCTGCCATTTATGAATAATATGGCATAAATGAAGCTTCCTTTCAGAGCCCTGGTAGCATCAGATTCCTAACGCCCAATGACTGGATTACCTCTTGAATAATAAATACTGACCCAAGAGGATCAGGTAGAAATTCAAAGTACTGCATTGATCCAAATGAAGCCTTCTTGGCTTTATATCTACGGTGTTCAAGGTCAGATGTCACCTTTCATATCCCTCCAGTCTAATGCAAGGCTCAGCGTGCTCTTGGAACCACATTGAATGACAGCGGAGAAAGTTCTGGTTGACAGTTTACAGAAGCCACGAGCCTGCGACAGCTCAGAATCCAGTCAGTGCATAGGATGTGGTATACTTGGCATGGACAGCAAGTTCAGATTTGTGAGTGGGACCCTAGTCTCTCGGCATGTGCTATGAATCTGGCTCTGGGTTGTGGTGGCAATTTAGTTACCAAAACTCATTTAAAAATGTTCTTTTGGCACATACTTGTGTCCAAAGAATATGTATCTATATCTTCTCCTTTAGACAAGCCTGTTATCTGGCCCTATTCATGGCCATTACCTTGTTCAAACAGTTAAAATATAATCAGCTTGAAGTTCTTTATGTTTCAGGCAAGAATCCAAGTTTTGTATGTTCAGATATTTGTTTGCCACATATACTTTTATTTTATTTTATGTATTTGGTAAAGTCTCACTACATAGCTCGGACTGGTAGTGATCCTCCTGTTTTCAGCCTCCCTAGAGCTGGGATTACAGGCGTGTGACACCATACCTGGTCTTGGTGGCCAGAACAGCATATGATATTGGGAATCGAACCTTGGTCCCTGTGCTTGCCTAAGCAGACACTTAGTCCACTGACCTATCTCGCTGGCCCTTGCCACACATACTTTTACTCAGCAGCTTTGTTTTGCAATTATATTTAAACCCTGACTCTCACTTATTATCTGTAGTGGGCAGATTACTTAGTTACCAGTTTCCTCAGCTTCCTTCTCTTTAAAATGGGGGATAACAGCAGTTCTGAGCTCAAGGTGTTGCTGTGATGATTCGAAATATTAACACATGCACATCCTTGGGATAGGTCCCAGATGTAAGCACCATGTAAGCCTGGCTCTTGAGGCTGTTGGTACATTACTCCTGAGGACAGTAACGCAGCTTCCCACTTCAGAACTCAGCCATGTGGCAAGCTAGAGAAGTGATTCTTCCAAAGATGTTGAAGAGGTGGCACAGCAGAAACCCGCTAAGCGGTAGAGGGAAGCCACTTGGTGATTGAAAATCTTTCCTGGATAATTCATTGACAGATCAATAAGAATATGAACAAAACCAAAGAAGAGCCAGGACTGCTTTTTGATTAAAAATGATGGGCCAATTGAGCAGAAAGATCTCAAACTTTCAGGTTAGTGGGGTCTGCGTGATTGGAGGTCCTGCCAGTGCTGAGCTCCTGGTCCTGGGAGGGTAACCGACCTCCTCTTACCTGCCCTGAACTGTGGGTCAGATGGTGACAATGAGATCCAACCTAAAGATTTGTTTAAATGGTTAGAAATAATTTATCTAAAATACCCTGCCCATAATAAGTGCTACATAATAGTAGTTACTATCATTATTATTTTTTAAAAAAATCTCTATTGAAGATTTTCAACAACTTATGTGCTGATTAGAATTTTTCAGTACCTGCTAGAGTTTTTGTTAATACAAAAGCAGATTAGAATCTTCTTTAACAGCTATGTTTCTTGATGGTTTTGTTTATAAAGCCTTAATCTATTATAAAGCTAACTAATCAAGTAGACAATTTAAGCTAGGTAATGACTTAAGTTAGGTAAACCATGTTTTAAAATTGATGTTTCATTGTTTAAAATTAATTTGAGGCCTTTATCCACCCTGCTCTGGATCTTGCCACTTTATTTGCAGAGTACTAGGCACTGAGATTATTCATGGAGGTGGGATTAGGCATATGGAAATGAAGACTTACCTAAAAACCTGTGCAAGGTAACCATATCCAACTTGAAATGGTGAATGAGTCCATGGGTGTTGAAGAGGTGGCACAGCAGGGTTACCAGGCTGTTTCCTAGAGGAGAACAGTTATCTGCTTTAACTTTTATCAGCACTAAACTATCAAGACTGAAAATAAAGGACTGGGAGATAGCTCTGAGGCATCTACACCAAAGTCTCCCTGTAATGAGACTTCTTGGACAGAACCCCTCCCCTTCCCTTTGGATCTGACAGTATTCAAGCATACAGAATATTATTACTATGATCTGGCCTAGACTTTCTCTTATTCTACAAATAAGGTTAGCTCAGATTTTCTCCTTAAAATAAAGGAAATAATGATATTAGAACAAGGAGTGTGCCTACTGAAGTGTCAAGGACCCACATAAATATACATACATATTAAAACCCCCCCACTGTTAATGGCTTGAAATGTAACATTCCCAGTGAACTTTACTTTATAGGGGTATTTAAACCACAGGAGTAGGGGCTGGGGAGATAGCTCAGTAGAATAAGTGCTTGCCTGGCAAGCACAAGGTCCTGAGTTCAATTCCCAGTATCACCAAAAACAAAATAAAACAAACAAACAAACAAAAAACCACAGTAGTACTTAACAGTATTAGCCTATTATTTTTCCTATGGAAAAAATCACTTGAGAGGTGGTTTGGCTATGAGATAGTTTAGAATGCAAGCCAGTGGAGTTACAACCTTGAAGCTATAGTAACTTGTAAGCATTCATGAGGTATTGCTTATTTAAAGGTAATAAGTTTGAATTTTAAAAATCCTGACTAGTTTAAGATTTTGAAATGGACCAGCCAGGGTGTCTTGAAAGAAAGATTAGGAGTCCCCTAATCATACTCTTTCAGGGTCCCTCACTTAGTAGGTCTCTGTAAATGTATTGTCTTCAAATTATTTCATAACTCAAGTTAGGGATAACAAATACATCACAAATGATTCTTGCCCATGGACTTAAAAATTAAATTGACCGATTTCTCCCTCTCCATTTTACTACTACTTCTTTTCAGCATTTCTTACTGCATACAAGCTATGTTCTTTGAATTCTACTTCTGTACAAATGATAGCATCTTACTGGATTTCTAACTCATTGAGTTAATACAATCGTTGATATATGCTCATTCTATATTTTGATGACAATCCTAATTGTATTCTCTTTTAAACAAATACTAGGTGACAAATTCTTTTGTGAACAGTTAATTTCATTTGTCAGTATCCATTTCTCAGCTGATTTGAGCGAAGTGAAACATAAGCTTATGGGATTCATCTCCTGATGGCCCAGTTTTGTTCCATGATGTGAAGATTCATTTATGACTTTTATTGCGCATTGTTTGCTAAGTAATAGAACAATGACAAAGCCATCTGTAATGGTTTAAAGCACAAGTGTGGTAGATGTTAAGACATATTAACATCAGCATTAACTCTAATGCCTTTCATTGGCTCCCTATGCGTCTCCATATTTATTTAATGGACAGATGAAGATGTTGCTATTTTCTTAAGGAAGGCTTTTATGGTCCCTAAAACTTAAAAGGTGAAACAGATAGATGTTTTATTTTTTTCTTCAGTTGCAGGCGGGGCTTTTATATTCTATTCTTTTTTTTTTTTTTGTATTTTAGGGACGGTTCTACAGGCTGTTCAGAGTCTCACTACTAGATTGGATTCGTAGTGATCCGTCTGTTTTAAGCCTCCCAAGAGCTGGGATTACAGGTGCACACCACCGCACCCAGTCTCAATTGCCATCTCAGCACACCCCGGATGCAGGACCAGCATGGCAGGGCCCGGGAGCAAAAGCCCGGCCCCTGGGCCTGCTTGAAGGCTTACATTGTATCCTCAGCAATTGTTTTCTTCTGATGTTGTCAAATGTATTTGAACAATACTTGCAATAGGGCAGACTCAGATCACTTAAAAAAAACTTCACAGGCTGCCCTGTAACTCAGGATTGATGAGGTATGACCTGATATTTCCAGTTTTCATTGACTAACAATGAACTTACTACTTTTGGATGTGGCCAAAGTATTTTGCAAACAAAAAATTTAATCTGTGGTTTCATAATTCCTTTGCGATTATCAAGGTTAAAAGGAAACTGTCCTAAGATTCTAAGGTTAAATGCAGCCCTCATTCTTTAACGAGCTTATTTTTCCTTTGCTCTGGTGCTTCTTGAATGACTGTAGATTTATGAAAGTTGGGAAAGGAGAAAAAAAAGACTAACATGTTTAAAAATAAATTTGTTTCTCATGAGATGAATCCCATTTTATGCTGTGTATTTCAGTGAGAGTTCTTTTGGGTAACTTACCATTTGTCAAACGATCAAACAAGAAAATGTCAAAGTCCCACATTCCCACTTTGGAGAGCATGTGCTGAAAAGGTAAACAAAAAATAACACCCAAATGAATCACACTGAGAACCAAACATTTACTTTGAGACACAGTGAATTAAACAATTAAGATGTTGGAAATATCACACTGTTCTCTCTGTACAACTGGTTTGGAGTAAATCAAATCTTACTCTACTTTCTAATGACAGTTTAAGGGTTGAGTTCTGTAGCTGAACTGCTTGATCCCTTGTTACTGTGTCTCTTCCTGGCAGTGGACCATTGGCTTCCATCCTTAACTTCTCTGTGCTGCAGTTTCTTCATTCAAAAAAACCGTGGGTGATGCTGTGGACTTCAGAGGACTGACTACAGTGATGCTGTAGAGTGCGTGGTGTGGCCTTCATTCATGGAGAGCCCACATGTCAGTGTCTGTTAAACTGTGGGTCAGTAAAAAGGTCCATATCATGAGCTACTATATATCGAAGGAAGGAGGATTTGATGGACACATGATGCTACTAGTGTGGACTGAATGTAAAATTAACCACTGGATGGGACGTTTAAAAGTAAGAAATGGAATATATTGGATGACTTAAAGCCTTATTGTCCAATGCACACTTACTATTAAATTTTTCTTTTTTAAAATACCCATGTTTAGAATTAGATGTTGACACAAAACCCACAATCATAGATTCTGTCCTCTCTATAGCTTCTGAAACCGCACATACCTTTTCTCATGCAGCTGTGTTTGAGGGCAAAGTCAAGATGTATTAATGACTAACCAACCCAGAGTCACAGAGGTCCTAGGAGTGGAGTAGGACTCAGGTGCCGTCAGCCAAGGGCAGGCTCTGGGCCACCAGGCTGCTGCAGGGAGGCGGGGAGTGGTAGGCTTACCCTGGCTTGTCCAAGGTAGTCTTCATCCAGCAGGTGGAGCGGAGCTTGTGGTACAATGCCACGGAGAAGCCTCGATGCATAGAAGTATCTTTGGAAACTTAACAGTCTTTTCACCTTTTTCTTGGTGCCAATTTCCCCTGAGTGTGTTGTATCTGTGGGAAGCAGAAGTTGAAATATTTAAAAGAGAGCTTATTTTATCCACTGTGTAAAAAGTAACACATTAAAAGGAGAGAGATGTAAAAGATGATCTCACTACTTTGAGGGCTAGCTTGAGTTAAACATAGACTATCTAGTGCTATATTGGAAATTGTTCTAGAACATAAATTATATTTCTTTCTATGGTGTTTATTAAAATGTCAAGATATTTATGAATGTACTTTTGGGAGACTTGGAATATATGAATTAAAATTTTATTTTTTTTTTGCTGGACTGTGGCAGCTGCACACTTCTGCATGTATTTGGAATGAGGTTTTTTCCTGTTGCATTGGAACTGGAGCTCAAAAATTTGGAACAAACTCTCACCCCATACTCTTTCCATTCTGATGAACTCTTTTACCTGAGCTGGAAAAGCTGTAAGGAAAATGTTTCTTAACATGAAGCAGACAGGGAGTATCTTCTTTTACTGGTAGGCACAAATTTCTGATTTGGTGGTAAAAATATTTTAATACTTTATATCGCTTGATTTTTTTTTTTTTTCTGCATTTTAGGGAAGGGTCTGCAGGGTGCTCAGAATCTCACTACTATATCAGACTTGCAGTGATTCTCCTGTTTACAGCCTCCCAAGTGCTGGATTGCAGGTGTGCGCCACCACACCCAGTCTCAATTGCCGTCTCAGCGGGCCCCAGGGGCGGGGCCGGCATGGCAGGCCTGAGGACAGAACCCTCGGCTCCTGTGCCTGTGTGCAGGTGCTTCAGTCTGCTGGGCTATTTGGCCAGCCTTTATATCACTTGATTGTGACATCATGATGGTTGTCTAGAATGTCTGTCAAGGTCTGTCATCTCAGCTGAAGTTTTATGAGTTACTCTAGGGCCAAATACGTGACATCTGCTGCTGCTTTTGGGCATAGAGATACTCGAACAATTTAGTAGGAAAATGTACAGCTCACATATAAAGTAATTTTGGTTTCTCTCATTGCTTCTCCCATCTCCCATTTCACACTCTGAAACAAATACCAGAAAATTCACCCATCTACAATATTTAAATGGCAATGGAATACCCATCTCTGACAAAATTAAACAAAAAAAGGGGATACAAATGAAGGATCATTTCGTATCTGTATATACAAAATAGTTAGGATAGATATACAGCTACTTTCTTTTAATTCAATGAGAAGAAAGATTTGTACTAATAGTGTTTGGACAGGATATCATGTCTGCATCTTGTGCTATGAATAATTACTATGAAGACAACAGTATGCCATGTGCTAATTATTGAAACTGTCCTACTAATCAGTTTTGAAACTGTCTCGTTGCTATTTCTTTCTCAATAAAATTAGTTAAAAATTTTAGTGAGAAAATGTACAGCTCATGTATAAAGCAATTTTGGTTTCTCTCATCATTTCTCCCATCTCTCACTTCACACTCTGGAACCCAAAGTCAAAGGAAATCCCAGAAACAGAGGCGACAATGGGCTCTCTTGATGGCCAGGCATGGCTAGCAGTGTTCACCACTTAGCTTCTGTCACGCATGCAAATGCGCGACTCAGGACTGGCAAGACCTACTGTTCTCTGGAAATGCTGCCTGATTAAAATTATTTTTTTTATCTTAAAATAGATCTAGATTTTGTACATGAAAAGAGACAAACATATCCATATGGAGGTAAGTGGAGTAAGACCAAAGTGTTTAATATTAGAAATGGTATATGTGGACTCCCTTCTGCTGGTGGGTTCGGACTCACTTGCATGATTTATTATATCAAAGTACAGGATACAATGATTCATTCATTTATTTTATGAAATGAATGCCTCCTTTGGAGCATGCACTCTTGTGGATCCTTTGTGAGATCATTCAGTTCTAGCTACTTCCATAAGAAAAACCAGTATCTCTTTCCTCATGGAGCTTATATTTTGGCAGAGAAAGACAACATACAACATAAAAATAAAGAAATTATAAATAAGTTAGAAGGTGTAGTGGGGAAAATTAAAGCAGAGAACAGAGGATCAGAGGTTTGTGGTGGGCACAGTCACTGATGGCTACGAGAGGGCACAATTTGATGAAAACTTGAGGGTGATGAGGTTGACTGAGTGGGCATCCAGGGAAACACCTTCCACACAGAAGAGGCAGCTCAGATAGCTAGCGGGAGTAGGAGTTGGCCTGATCCTGGCATGTGGGAGCAACAGCAGATGCTGTTTGTGAGCTGGGGGAGGGGGGCTGAGGAGGAGGCAGAGGAGGAGGGAGAAGAGAAGGGAGAAGAGGAGGGCGAGGAAAAGGGAGAGGGGGAGAGAGGGGGAAGGGAGAGGGGGAGAGAAAGGGGGAGGGAGAGGAGGAGGAGGAAGAGGAGGAGGAGGAGGAGGAGGAGGAAGAGGAGGAGGAGGAGGAGGAGGAGGAAGAGGAGGAGGAGGAGGTGTGGAGAAGAACAGGGAAAATTACAGAAGCCAGAGAAGGATCATCACAAGAGAACCAAGAAAATGTCTTTCTTGGAACCCCTGCTGAAGAAGTGCATATATGAGGAAAGTGTGCTCCCAAGTACCAAATGCTGTTAAGGGGTCAGGAACAAGGCAGACTCAGAGCTGAGCATGAACTGTACTTTAACGTGGCATAGTCTATTGCGTATCTGCAAGCAGCGTGACCCCGAAACCAGTGAGCACGTCTAGCACCCAGGTTTTGGTTTTAGATTCAATTTCTTGCTAAAAGGAATCAGACCACTTTGGCAACATGGCCAGTTCTAAGACCGGGACAGGAAAGGTATGGGATGAATGGCAATGTCTTGTTACGCCAGAAAAGAAAGGAGAGTTTGCAAAATGATGGCTCGTTCAAAAATGACAGAGAAGACAACTTTTAAGGTGTCCCTCTGAAAAAGTTTGGGAAAATTTGAGCCTCAGAATAAATAATGGAAGACTAGATTATAAACCATTGACTAAAATAAGAATCAATGAATCCATATTATAGTAAGCAAGTGAGTAAATAAATTCAGAAAGGAAAGTTCTTTGTAGAGCATGCCAACCAATACATATAAATGATACCATTGGAAAAACCATAATTTTGTAGTCACCATGGTAATAACTGAATCAAGCCAGAATCCTTAATGGATACTAAAATTATAAAGGAACACTGAAAAGCCTGCCAGATAAAGCATTTCCTGAAGGTGACTTACCGGCAGGGTGATGGGCAGTTGTTAGTGACAAATGCACAAGGTGCACTGTCTTCACTTAGGGTTCAGTACTCGGGAGAGAGGAGCTGACATTTGCACTGTCTCATGTAGCTCATGAATTGTAGCCTCCTGCCCCCAAATGCACGTCTGACTAAGAATGAGGAAACATCAGAAACAGCCAGCTTAAAGCACACTCTGAAACCATCAGCGGGTGCACATAGAAAACGTCAGCGTCATGAAAGGATGACAACCTCAGGTATTGTTTCATAATTCGGCTCCCAGACACAGACACTAAATTTAATTCTTGATCCTCAGATGAACCTTGGATCAGAGAAAAATTTACATAAATAACATTATTAGGATTATTGGTAAAACCTGGATATGACCCTATATATGAGATAATAATATTATATTTACAAAGTTCTTGAATGTGATAGTGGAACTACACAAACGTAGTTATTTTTGTTCTTTTAGAAATATAGGTTGAACTATTTAGAGATAAAGGGATATGATGTATATAACAAATTCTCAAGTGGTTAAGAAAAGAATTGATAGTGGTAAGGCAAGTACTGCAAAATGTAACAACGTATATGGGAAAATGTAAATGGCTTGTTCTGTTCTTGAAAATTTTATATAAATTTTAAGTTATTTAATGATGAAAAAGTAAGAGAAAAACTGGGAAGAGAAAATCTGAAACATCAGGTACTGACTACTGTGTTAAGGAATTTTGCTGCCTAGGAGAATAGAAAATGTGATAATAATTCCATATAGAATGAAATCAGTGCCCTGAATGAATAAATGAACTCAATTATTTCTATGTTATGCATGAGGCATATACAAAGGGAAATATTTGCTCAATGATCTACTTTTTTTTTTTTTTTACATATTCTCTGAAAATTCCCAAATTCTAAAATAGTACAGGAAAATTTAACCACAAGAGTGCTCAAAGTTTGACAGTGAATTGGTTATTATGAGGCTTAGGCTTTATTTGTGCACTTTCAAACTTAAGTCTGAGATGGACAAGGAGACAGCTGTCAAGTGGCAGTGTTAACTGATGGCCAATGTTTTCTAAAATACCAAGTTCTATGCCATTGCCACCTCTATGTAAGTTATCTAGAAAACAAGAAAATGATGCAGAAGAGATGCTATTATGAAAGTAATAGTGCTTACTGTTTTTTTCTTCATTAAATCTTTTTTATTTTTTAAAGAGACTAAAAAGTAGTAAAAAATTATAAATGATACAGAATTCCACTAAACAAAATGATAGAAATTCAACAATGGTTGTTATGTTGTATATTGTTGTCTTTAAATTAATTGTTCAGATTACCAAATATAAACATGCAAAATTGGTTAAAAAAGTTATAGAAAATTAAAAAGAAAAAAAAGTAAGCATTAACTGCTTCTTTCAGTAGATCAGCAGAAATCAGCAGTACAGTTATCTAAGCGATCTTGTGTGTGTACATATATATTTCAGACCTCCAGCCCACCTAGAACAAGTCCAGGAGACAAGGACCAAGAACAACGTGGAGTTACACGCTTGAAGATTCTGAAATGGTAGCAACTGAAGTAAAGAAACAATTCATCAGGCTATAGAAGAAATCAGATCACCAATAATCTCTCAGGTAAAAAAAGAAATGACAACAATCATGAAAGAATTGATCAGCTCTTCTAAAGAAGATCTAGATTAAAAAAATAGAGAATAAAAAATGATAGAAACAGTAAACAAACAGTACAGGAAAGAATTAGTTGCTCAGCAGAGTAAAGCCCCTGCAAGCAGGCGCAGGGGTGGGGTTTTGATCCTGGGCCTTCCATGCCGGCCCCACCCCTGGGGCACACTGGGAAG